ATTGTGGATTTACATAAAAAAGTGATTCGTTACAAAATGACGAGGTTCCCACTAACAAGCGCGACTGCCGCAATTATGGGTCACGAGAAGGGCCGCTGTTTTTTTTTCCAGGTTGGCAATGCAGGTGGACAGTAGAGTGTGGGAACGGGGGAAAAGTCGGCGCTTGGGTTGAGATAGAGATCTGGCTGGGCGGAGCTGGGATGGCATCGGCGGCGACCAATGGGAAGGAACGGTTCGTCACGTGACGCGATGTCGGAGTGGTGATTGGGTGTTCCATTTTAATGTTGTATTAATTATGCGTAATGAAACTGATAAGGAAGGTGATAATGCGTTTGTATGACCATTATCGGAGCACTGTCTTGTGGTATCACTAATAATAACAATAATTATTATCACTTCATTAGTAATGTGTCGACTCTAACTGCAGATATCGTATATCGTTCCAAATGATATATAAGTAACAGTTTGCTTGTTTACTTTTAACTAATGTAGTTATAATAGCTTCCTCACATTATTACAGAAAATTATAGGAAATAATTTAAAGTAGCACAACTTTATACAAATGTATACTTTTTATTATTAATAATCCTCTTCCAGTTGAATAATTATAGTTAATTTAATAACAATATCAAATAAAAAACGCAAGTACTGTTTATATTACATGGTACAGAAAATTAAGTAAATCATGTTAGCCGGTAAAAAAGGTTCCCAGTTATGTAAAATTGACACTTTTATGGTTATTTAACTATCACTTCTGATAACAAGATACCTTCTCATAATCTTGTACAAAAATATAAATAAAAATTCTGCACAGTTCATGTTGAACTAACGCGAATTTCTAACTATTACGCAGCTGAAGTTATAAAACTAATACAAATTTAATAGTCGTTAGTACAAGTTGCCACAGAAAATTTGTTAATAGTAGCCGACTCAAAAGTAGGCCAATTATAGCTAAATTGTCTTTTAAAACTCTAGGAGGCAAATATGTTAAATCATATTAATACATTTTCTTGATTAAAAAAAAAATCGTCATCATCACAGTTAATTAATTACCTAATTATGGTTAATTATAAGAGTAAAGTAGCTAAAAAAATCAGAACGTATCCTCTGAAATGGTAAAGATTTCTATTCGTTTAAACTGATTTTTGGCAATGGCTTTAGTTACTCACATAGGGAACGATGTGTACTCTTTCAAAACACTTTTTTCTTAGAATAGTGTTGGTGATAGTTAATATTAAACTCTTCAATTTCCGCTAAACGTTAGTGTTTTTAGCTATAATAGATAATAATCTACTTTTATTATTATTTAACTGCCATATAGATTGTTGCATTATAGATAAAAATAATGATAGTTAAATTATAAATAATATAATAATTTTTAACTATTAAATAATCGAACTTGTAAAACTAATGCAAGTTTAATAGTCGCTAGCACAAGTTATCAAAGAAAATTTGTTAATAATAGTTGACTCAAAAGTAGGCCGATTATAGCTAAATTGTCTTTTAAAGCTCGACGAGGCAAATATGTTAAATTATATTAATATATTTTCTTGAATTTAGAAGAAAATCATCTTCATCACAGTTAACTACCTAATTATAGTTAATTATAAGACTAAAATTAGCTAAAAAAATCACGAGGTATCTGTATTAAGCGTTTGAAATGGTAAAGATTTCTAGTCATCTAAAACTGAGGCATTTATGGTTAATTAACTATTATTTCTGGTTTATCGCGATGGCATTAGTTTCTCACATAGTGAACAATTTGCACTCTTTCAAGACACTTTATTCTTAGAATAGTATTGGTGATAGTCAATATTAAACTCTTTAATTTCCGCTCATCGTTGGTGTTTTTAGCTATAACAGATAATAATCGACATTTATTATTATTTAACTACCATATAGATTTTAGCATTGTAGATAAAAATAATGATAGTTAAATTATAAATAATACAAATTTAATAGTCGCTAGCACAAGTTATCAAAGAAAATTTGTTAATAATAGTTGACTCAAAAATAGGCCAATTATGGCCAAATTGTTTCTTAAAGCTCGACGAGGCAAATATGTTAAATTATATTAATATATTTTCTTGAATTTAGAAGAAAATCATCTTCATCACAGTTAACTACCTAATTATAGTTAATTATAAGACTAAAATTAGCTAAAAAAATCACGAGGTATCTGTATTAAGCGTTTGAAGTGGTAAAGATATCTAGTCATTTAAAACTGAGGCGTTTATGGTTAATTAACTATTATTTTTGGTTTATCGCGATGGCCTTAGTTTCTCACATAGTGAACAATTTGTACTCTTTCAAGACACTTTATTCTTAGAATAGTGTTGGTGATAGTCAATATTAAACACTTTAATTTCCGCTCATCGTTGGTGTTTTTAGCTATAACAGATAATAATCGACATTTATGATTATTTAACTACCATATAGATTTTTGCATTGTAGATAAAAATAATGATAGTTAAATTATAAATAATACAAATTTAATAGTCGCTAGCACAAGTTATCAAAGAAAATTTGTTAATAATAGTTGACTCAAAAATAGGCCAATTATAGCTAAATTGTTGCTTAAAGCTCGACGAGGCAATCACGAGGTATCTGTATTAAGCTTTTGAAATAGTAAAGATATCTAGTCATCTAAAACTGAGGCATTTATGGTTAATTAACTATTATTTATCGTTTATCCCGATAACTTTGGTTCCTCACATAGTGAACAATTTGTACTCTTTCAAGACACTTTATTCTTAGAATAGTGTTGGTGATAGTTAATATTAAACTCTTTAATTCCCGCTCATCGTTGGTGTTTTTAGCTATAACAGATAATAATCGACGTTTATTATTATTTAATTAACATATAGATTTTTACATTATCGATAAAAATAATAATAGTTAACCTCAGTTAAAAGGGTAGCAATATTTTCAATGTATTTTCAACTATGAGTTATTCCTAGTGGTGTTAAAGATGAAAATTTATTATTTAACTAACATACAAAGTAAGTTTAGCTGAATTTTCAACTATTAAACTGAACTTATAAAACTAATCCAAGTTTAACAGTCGTTAGCACAAGTTTTCAGAGAAAATTTGTTATTAGTAGTTGAGTCAAAAGTGGGTCAATTATAGCTAAAATTGTCTTTTAAAGCTACAGAAGGCAAAAAGTTCTTGAATTTAAAAATAATTTTGTAGTTAACCAATTATAGTTAATTATAAGACTAAAATCGGCTAAAAATCACGATATGTCTGTATTATTCGTATTAAATGAGACATATTTCTGGTCATCTAAAACTGACGCATTTATAGTTAATTAACTATTATTTCTGTTTTTCCTGAATTGCTGTAGTGAACGATTTATATTCATTGAAGCGACTTTATTCTTAGAATGGTGTTGGTGATAGCTAATATTGAAACTCATTAATTTTTTCTTATTATTGGACAGGTTGTTACTTAATTGTAACATAATAATCGACATTTATTATTATTTAACCAACATAAAATACGTACACTTCATTTTTCCATTTCTGATTATTCCTAACGTTAAAGATGGAGAGTTAATAATAAAAACAATGATAGTTAACATCAACAGGAACGTCGGTAATGTTCAAACAAATATAAAAAATATCTGGACCGAATATATTTTTTATTAAGTATTCAAAGTGTTATGAATAATTAAAATCATTAAAATAATGGTGATTTTTAACTATTAAATAACCAAAGTTTTAAAACTAATAACGGTATACAATACATACAATACCCAAAATAATATGACTGACTCAGTAGTAGCTCACTTTTAACTAAACTATTGTCTTTAAAAGTTAATTATAATATAAATTTCGACTAAAAAATCACGATATATTGTAACCGTACTTTTCAAGTTATCTAAAAACGAAGGATTTAAAGTTAATTAACTATCATTTCTGTTTTTTTTTTTGATGGCCACAATTATCGCTATAACGAATCATTTGTGTTTTTCAAGCAATCTTGTTACCGGAATATGGAGTAGGTGATATTAGTTAATATTTGAACTCCCTACTTTTTATAAATGTATGTAGATATTTGTTTTTTTTTCATAACAGACGAAAAGGGGCTTTTATTAGCAGTGAAGTAACACAAAATAGCTATTGATTTTAGATTATTCTTAACGTTAAAAAAACACCAGTTAATGATGAAAACAGTAATCGGTAACAATAACACAAACGACAAAGACGTGCTTAACATACGTTTTTAGCCATAACTGAGCAATATTAGGAATACTTTTTCATCATTAGATTTTGTTTAGTTAACAATTATAGTTATTAGTTGTTTGATATTTCTCACATACTTATGTACAATATATTGTGGTCCGATTGTTTCCACCAAAATTGTTCAGTGAAGTCCCAGTTTTCGCAAGTGTTTTTTTTTTTTCAATAAATATTGGCAACCAGTTGTTCAAATTTCGTAAACAAGCTGCAATAAAAATATCTGCTCCACTATTTAAACAATTCGTGTATCGAGGATCGTCTAAGATAACTCGGTAAACTTATCACACTCGAAATTGTTCTCGATCTCAATACCACTCACTCGAACTAGCAAACACTCCCATCTACGAATTTCAAACACAAACCCAAGATAACTATTATTGCCTTACCTCCTGGAAAAACATAATCAGGAAATTAAAGTCCACGAAAGTGATTTCGAAGAAACTTGAATGGATACTGATAAATAGATAAAAAATAATAAGATGGGACCGGATGTACCGTGTTTGTTTAACACTACAATTATCGTCCCGTAATGCAACATTATTACCGTATATGCTCAGTTGCGTAAGCTATCAATAATGTAAAAGTAATAAATAAGTGAATCGTCCCGTCCGTTACTAACGTAATTTCTACGTAATTTGCAATAGTGAAAGCACGAAAAACAATAATGTCCAGATTGGCCCATTTAGCATTTTTAACGACAAATACTGAATGCGTTACACAACCAAACTATAAAAATTGACCACTCGTGGACTCACCGTCGTGCAAGAAGTTGTTGTTGTTGGGCGGCGTCGGCGCGCTGTTGCTGCCCGGAGTGATCGTGACCGGCTTCCGGTCCTCCGGAATCATGGAACCCTGGTAGTCCAGGAAGTTCAGGTCCGGGACGCACATCGAGTTGTACAGGCTTCCGGGAACCACGGTGCTCGTCAGCGATCGTTCCCTCTCGACATCTGTGAGACAGAGAACGGTTAATTGGCGGCATCGACGGCCACAATGTGCTTATCTACCGATCGCACGTCAATCAAATTAGTGGGAATTACAATATTCGTTCTGTGCGCGAAATTACAAGTTAAATCCCATGAAAAGATTTTTTTCCTGGCGTGCCGTGCGTCGATCGCACGCTGGATGAGCGGGATAATTGGCGGTGCGAGTCTGTAAGACGCGGTTTGGGGCCGCACCTTTCTGGAGGAGCTCCAGGTGCTCCCAGAGGATGTCGCCCACGAAGGCGGGCGCGCGGGCGGCGAACGCGTCTTTGCCCATGGCGCAGATGTCCTTGCCCTTCATGCGGAACTGGTGCAAGGGGATGCATTCGAGGGAGAATTCTTTCGCCGCCCACTGCAGCCAGTGGGCCACGTGGTTCTCCGTCCATTGACGTGGATCTGGAAAGAAAAATACAGTCACATTATATGTTTTTGGTACTTTACGGCAGGTCAGGTCAAGTCAAGATTAGGTCAAGTCAAATCAAGGATCAGGTCATGTCAAATCAAGGATCAGGTCAGGTCAGGTCAAAGATCAACTCAGGTCAAGTTAAGATCAGGTCATATCAAGACCAGGTCAGATTGCGATAAGGTCAGGTAAGACCAGGTATGGGTGGTCTTGATTGTTTTGGAAATACTATATTCTTTGCACACTTTTTTGTATATTAATAAAATTTTAAATCCCATTACATAGTGTCATTTGAGCCACTAAAGCTCGAGCGACCTTCCTGATAAATATTCTCATTAATACGAAATAGGCGACTCTTGTGGATTCGGAATTTACGTAAATGGTAAAATTGTAGTCAGAAAAAAAAGATTAATAGCAATTACAATGATTAAATATTGAGATAAGATAAATTCATGAACACCGAAAATCAACTGCTATACGCATATACAAACACAAACAAGTGAATCACTCTAGACAATTCCTACAGATGCCTCAATTTCTCTTGTCGCTGTAATATAACAGATACGGACCTGTAAAGCTGATATAAAGTTGCAGTTTTCGTAGAAATTTTTCTTTTACTGTCATACTTTCACTTTAAATTCAGATTTTCAATATGGAAAAAGTGACTACAGAAAAAATGTATTTACTTCACTCGATTAAATAAATATTTTTGTCACGTACTGCAAACACAATTTCACGAAAATGGGTCAGTTTTGGAGGCCGTTTTTACAAGAGCCCTTTCTTCAAGTGCTTTATCTTTTATCTCTACAGTGGACTAACATTGGCACTTTTTGCGATTTTTTTTAATAAAATCTCCTAGTTTTAAGTGGGACTTACAAAATTGCTGTTGACATTGAAGTTCCCGTTGCAGTTCGCAAAATTTAGCCCCCCCACCCGTCCTGTCTCATTACAATTGAGATTTTTTTTATTCGTCGTGAGCCAAGGGGGCGGAGCTTAACTGCAAAATCCTTATTTCTCTACGAGAAATTGAAAACATGTTTTTGAATATCGTGTTGTTCAAAGAATACTATGCCTAATTACAAAATCCATATTTTCTTACAAAAATTTATCATTTTAAACGTAATTAAAGTTTCGATGAATAAAAAAAAAAATCACATTTGAGAAGGGGTGGGTGGGCGGGGTTTATATTTTGTCATTTTTTTCTTACTGCCCATTCACAATGGACATAAGACATAAGAACGAGCGCATAACATAATTTACGTTTTTGGTTTGTATCTGGCTTATGCTTATCTACGTTCACAGTGGACAGAGTGAACTCTGTAAGAATTGTTAAACTGCGCAAACGCAGAACGGAATAACTCCTGGCTAAACATAGAAGCGGCTAACCTCAAACTGAGTCAATCAAAATATCTAACCTACAATTTCATACGATATTCGAACTTGACAACTTGCAGTACAGAACAGACTCGCAGTGTGACGCTTTGAATATAATTTATACAATATAATCAAAGGTGTGAAGTGCCAAGTGCCAACTGTCAAAGGGAATTCAATAGCAGCATTCAAAAGTCCCTAGATTTTAAAATAATTTTGACATAATTCCTGCACAAAGTTGAACTTGTTTCAACTTTGTGTACGCACACAAGGATTACATAAAACGTTCATAAGCATAAGAATTACCTTCGTCCACTGTGAACAGGGGTACACGCTTTCCATCGTTTCAACTTTATGTATTTATGTAAGCTTTTCTTTATGTACTTGTTATGCCTTATGTCCATTGTGAATGGGCAGTTAATATACATTGTATTCTTTGAACAACATGATACTTAAACACATATTTCTAATTTCTTGTAAAGAATTAAAGTATTTTGCAGTTAAAAGCTCCGCCCCCTTGATTCAAAAAATTATCACAATTGAGATCGGGCGGGTGGGCGGGCTTACATTTTGCCTCTTTGTTTTAATATGTGTAGACTTCTTTTCAGAACATGAAACTTAAAACTTGTTAAAAATGTAAAATTTGCATAAGGAAATATCGATTTTGCACCATTTTAACCATGTTCCAAGTTTCTTGTTGTGAAAAGATAGCTATGTATATTAAAAAAAAAAGGCAAAATATAAGCCCCACCCACCCGCCCGATCTCAATTCTAATCATTTTTTTTATTCGTCGTAAGCTGAGAGGCGGAGCTTAATTGTAAAATCCTTATTTTTCTACAGAAATTACCATGTGAAATATGTTGTTACGTAATCGTGTTATACAAAGAAAACTAAATAAAAAGAAAACCAAAAGAGAAGCCCCACCCATCCGTCTTGATCTCAATGGTGACGAATTTTTCATTCGTTGTCAGACCGAGGGGCGGGGCTTAATTCCAAAATCCATATTTCCCAATACAAATTTACCATTTTAAACATGTCTTAAGTTTCTTGTCGTGAAAAGATGACTACACATTTTAAGAAAAAAAGGGCACAATATAAGCCCCACCCACCCGCCTTACTTCAATTGTGATAATTTTTCTTTTATGCGTTGTGAGTCAAGGGGGCGGAGTTTAACTGTAAAATCCTTATTTCTCTACGTGAAATTAAAAACATATTTTTGCGTATCGTTTTATTCAAAGAATACGATGTACATTAAGAAAAAATCAAAGCCAAAGATTAAGCTCCACCCATATCTGCCTTGATCTAAATAATGAAGTAATGAAGTTTTTAGTCGTTGTCAGACCTAGGGGCGGAGCCTAATTGTAAAATCCATATTCCCTTATAAAAATTTACCATTTCGAGCGTGTTTCAAGTTTCTGAGAAGAAAAAAAATCATCACAATTGAGATGGGGTGGGTGGGCGGGGCTTATATTTTGTCTTTTTTTCTTAATACACTTAGGATTATGTAAACAATACAAAAACATGTTTTTAATTTCTTGTAAAAAATTAAATATTTTGCAGTTAAGCTCCACCCTCTTGGTTCACGGCGAATAATAAAAATCATCACAATTGCGATAGGGTGGGTGGGCGGGCTTACATTTTGTCTCTTTGTTTTAATATGTGTAGACTTCTTTTCACAACATGAAACTTAAAACATGTTAAAAATGGAAAATTTGTATAAGGAATTAGGCTTCGCCCCATAATTGCAAAATCCAAACTTTCTTGCAAGAATGTACCATTTTAACCAAGTTCTAAGTTTCTTGTTGTGAAAAGATGGCTATGTATACTAACAAAAAAACAGGAAAAATATAAGCCCCGCCCACCCACCCGATCTCAATTGTGATGATTTTTTTATTCGTTGTGAGCCAAGGGAGCGAAGCATAACTGCAAAATCCCTAGTTCTCTTAAGAAGTTAACAACATATTTTTGAGTATGGTGTTGTTTAAAGAATTCTATGTATATTAAGAAACGCATAAAGGCAAAGATTAGATCCCACCCATACCCGCCCCGATCTCAATTCTCAGTTATAATGAATTTTTCATTCGTTGTCAGATCGACGGGCGGGGCTTAATTGCAAGATCCATACTTGTCTACAAGAATTTACCATTTGAAACTTGTTTTAAGTTTCTTGTTCTGAAAAGACGACTACGTATTTTAAGAGAAAAGGCAAACTATAAGCTCCGCCCACCCGCCCTATCACTGTTGTGATGATTTTTAAATCATCGAGAACCAAAGCAGTGGAATTTAATTGCAAAATCCTTATTATTTAGTATATTAACAAAAAATTAAAGGCAAAGATTAAGCCCCACCGATACCTGCCCCGATCTAAATAGTAATGAAGTTTTCATTCGTTGACAAATCTAGGGGTGGCGCCTAACTACAAAATCCATACTTCCTTACAAAAATTTACCATTTTAAAGGTATTTTAAGTTTCTAAGAATAAAAACATCATTACAAATGAGATAGGGTGGGTGGGTGGGGTTTATATTTTGTCTTTTTTTCTTAATACACATAGGATTCTGTAAACAAGACGATACTCAAAAACATCTTTTTAATTTCTTGTAAAGAATTAAATATTTTGTAGTTAAGCTCCATCTTTTTGGTTCACGGCGAATAAAAAAAATCATCACAATTGGGATAGGGCGGGTGGGTGGGCTTACATTTTGCCTCTTTGTTTTAATATGTGTAGACTTTTTTTCACAACATGAAACTTAAAACATGTTTAAAATGGAAAATTTGTACCTATAAGGAATTGTCGATTTTGAAAAAGGCAAAATATAAATCCCGCCCACCCGCCCGATTTCAATTCTGATGATTTTTTTTATTCGATGTGAGCCAAGAGGGTGAAGCTTAACTGCAAAATCCCTACTTCTCTACGAGAAATTAACAACATGTTTTTGAGTATCGTGTTGTTTAAACAATACTATGTATATTAAGAAACGAATAAAGCCAAAGATTAGGCCTCACACATACCCGTCCCGCTCTCAATTCTCAATTGTAATGAATTTTTCATTCGTTGTCAGATCGATGGGCGGAGCCAAAGTACAAAATCCATATTTCCTTACAAAAATGTACCACGTACAAAGTATTTTACGTTTCTAAGAATAAAAAGATCATTACAATTGAGATAGGGTGGGTGGGCGGGGTTTATATTTTGCCTTTTTTTCTTAATATACATAGTATTCTTTGAACAACACGATACTCAAAAACATATTTTTAATTTCTTGTAAAGAAATAAGTATTTTGCAGTTAAGCTCCGTCCCCTTGATTCATGGCGAATAAAAAAATCATCACAATTGCGATAGGGTGGGTGGGCGGGCTTACATTTTGTTCTGTGTTTTTAGAATGTGTATACTTCTTTTCACAAGATGAAACTTAAAACATGTCAAAAATGGAAAATTTGTATAAGGAATTAGGCTTCGCCCCATAATTGCAAAATCCATATTTCCTTGCAAAAATGTACCATTTTCACTATGGTCCCAGTTTCTTGTTGTGAAAAGATGGCCATGTATACCAACAAAAAAAGGAAATTATAAGCCCCGCCCACCCACCCGATCTCGATTGTGATGATTTTTTTATTCG